AACAGACAGGAGTGGAGGAAGTTGAGAGAGGTAGAGAATGAGAGTAATGTGAACACATTCTGTATATATTCACATCCCCCAGACTAAAGTTTGTGAAGTCTGAAATCCTCTGCTCCAGGCATTTCAGAAGAGCGATACTCAACCTGTTCCTCCAACAGGTGATGGAGTAATAGGTACCTACCAGGCTGTCTCAGAATGAACCACAGTCTGAATACATCACCCCTGCAACCCTCACTTGGGAGGAAGGCTTGAGAAGCTCTCCCAGTGGAAACGAACCCCAAAGTCAGGAAGTGGCTCAAGGCACCAGAAATCAGAGGTGGCCGCCTCCTCAACCCACAACACAGACTTCATTTATTCTCTGGAGAGCCTCCTGGTGCCTCTTAGCTGTGCTCTCACCGTCCTGGTGAGGTCTGCAAGGGCTCAAGTCCACTGACCGCACCGGGACAGACAGCAGCATCAGTGCGGATGTTAGCCATGTAATCTGGAAGGAGCTCACCCCCAGAGAGAATACTGATCTATCAGCACTGATTTTATAACCTCGGCAAGTGGATTGAACCACTGTGGCTTCAGATTATTTTTCTTGGTGTCTGGATGCAGACGTGCAGGTGCATGGGTGTGTGCTGTGACTGAAGGCTGCAGGACAACCTTGCCTGCTCTTCCCCATACCTTCTTTGAAGACAGGGTCTAACACTAACATGTACCTTACATACTTTACTGGATGGGCCAAGCTGGCTGGCCAGGGAGTCCCAACGTTCAATTCACCAGTCTCTGACTTTTCAAAATAGGATAACAAGTGTGTATTGCCACGCCTGGCTGTTCTATGTGGGTTTGGAGAATGAGATTCTCATTCTTACAAGGCAAACACTGTACTGACAGCCATTTCCCCAGCTCTTCCGTGTCCCCTTCTGTGAAATGGCAGTAAGGTGGCATTTGGGAATTAAGTGGTGAACATGTCTAAAACTCTCAGACCAAGACCTGCCAGCAAGTATCAGTGAAATGATGTTAGGCAGTTCTTATGCGTTGGGCCAGCAGTTGTGTTTTCTGGACCGTTATAAAAAAGATGGGAAGTCAAACTTGTAGAGCTCCATGTACCACAGTCAGCACATACCCGACACTGGCAGGCATCACTAACCACAGTCGGCATCATGACTGCACTGCCAGCAGGGAAGACAGGTTCCCTCCAGCACGTAAGTTTACTCGTGTGAATTAGCCCGTGCCATTCAGCAGCTCTAATGAGATTGGTGTACTGGAGGCTGATCCCCCTTATCAGTGGTGCTGGGAACTGCGCAGCTCACAACACTTAATTTCCCTCTATGAAGCCAATCCTTTAATCCTGATTTAGTCTGGCTGGGATTCCGCCTGGCTTTGCACTGGACGGCATTCTCTGGCTGCGCTGGACCAGCACAAAGAAGCTCTTCAGTAACTCAGAGCAAGCCAAGATGCTGAAGAATAGTGAGGGCCACTTCCTGGCTCAGGCATACTTGCATCATAATGGTTTTGTTTTCCAACTGCAGGAGTGATGGAGAAGCATCCACATACAGACTCACGCCTAATTACAGCTTCCCCAATTGGTAGAAACAGGGGAAAGCCCAGGAGACCACACACACAAACTCACACACACACACACACACACACACACACACACACACACACACACAGAGAGAGAGAGAGAGAGAGACAGAGACAGAGACAGAGAGACAGAGAGAGGCAGATGGAAGGGGTGTGGATGAATACGAGTTAACTGTGGGAAGCTGGGCTGTGAGCTTGGTATCCAAAGAGCAGGACCTCAGCTACCACCACTCCAGGGCTGTAAGTTTCCCTGGAGTGCTAAGCATCCTAAATGCTTCGAACCATTCCCGGCTTACCATGGAGTCACCGGGAGATGGGAAACACTTGCGAGTGGGGCAAACACACCAGGCAACAGGAGTCTGTGTGCCTTTGCTTTGGAGACTGGAACAGTTTCCTGCCTGAGGTCTCACAGGACCTAGGGAGCAGAACTAGAGCCCCAGAGTCCTGAGCACCACTCATAGCTTGGTTGCATCTGGAGTGATTTCTGAGTGGGGGGAGGCCCCCAAGCAATATGAATTAGTGCCTCATGTGGAGCACACACCTTGAAACGAGTGAACGCAGGCTGGAGTAGCATCACATTAGCTGGTGGAGTATAACTTTGTGTGGTGGTCTGAATAAGAATGGTACCCACAGGCTTATATATCGAATGCTTAGTCATCAGGGAGTGGCACTACTTGAGAAGGATTAGGAGGTGTGGCCTTTTGGGGTAGCTGTGCCCCTGTGTAAGTCACTGGGGCTGGGCTTTGATGTTTCCAAAGTCAAAATCAGGCCTAGTGACTCTCTCCTCTTCCTGCTACCTGTGGATCTGTGTGCGGAGTTCTCAGCTCCTTCTCCAGCACCAGGTCTGCCTGTGTGCCACCACGCTCCCTGCCATGAGGACAATGGACTGAACCTCTGAAACTGTAAGCAAGACCTCTGTGAAGTGTTTTATAAGAGTTACTGCAGTCATGGTGTTTCTTCGCAGCAACAGAAACTAGAACAGAAGCTGGTAGCAGGCAGTGGGGTGTTGCTGTGACAGGCCCAATCGTACTGCTTGGGGGTGGAATGTTGACTTCGGGACACTGGATTAGGAATCAGGTGACCGCTTTAAGTGGGGCTTGATGGACTATATTAGTAGGAGCATGGAAGACGGTGCTGAGGGTGAGCTGAACTGGGGGCTCGGCTCAGGAAGTTTCAGAGGGGGAAGAATATTAAGAAAGGGCCTAGCGATCATTTCTGTGATACTTTAGCAAAGAATGTGGCTACTTTTTGATTTTGTCTGAAAAATCTGCTTGAATCCAAATTGAAGAGTTTTGGATTACTGGTACTGGCAAAAGAAATTTTCAATAAATGTGTCACATGGTTATTCATGGTCAGTTTTATGCAGATCTAGTATGAAAAGGAGCAAGCTGAGGAAGGAAAAAATACAAGATGGTGGAGATGCCAGAGCCATGAGATTCAGCCAAGAAGAGCTGCAGACGGGGTGTGGAACAAATGTGCTGCAGTCAACAAAGCTAGAAGGAGTTGGAGATCTGAAGGGCACTATGACATCAGACATGAAGATAAGGAATGTGTTTACCCAGCTGACCTTTAGTCTTGCTGTGGTACGGTGTTTCCACCCCACGCTCCCTTTCCTGCTTTTGGAATGGTGATGCATATCTGTGCCATTGTGTGTTGGAAGCATGCGATCTGCTTTTTGATTTTGGTTTTAGAGAGGTTTACAATTAAGAGACTGTAATGAATCTTACAACTTTGGATGCTCACTGTTGAGACTGTGATAGGCTATGGGGACTTCTGAAGTTGGGCTAAATGCATGTCTGCCTTAGGGTATGGCTCCGAGCCTATGGGGGCCAGGGAGTGGAATGTGGTGGTTTGAATAAGAATGGTCCCCACAGGCCTACGTACTTGAATTGTTGGTCATCAGGGAGTGGCACTAATTTGAGAAGGATTAGGAAGTGTGACCTTGTTGGGGTGGGGCCTCATGGGAGGAAATGTGTCACTGGGGGTGCCTTTGGAGTTTCAAATGCCAAAGTTAGGGCCAGTATGTCTCTCTTCCTGGTACCTATGGATCCAGATAAAGAACTCTCAGCTACTTCTCTAGCGCCATGTTTGCCTGAGTGCAGTCATGTTCCCACCATGATGATAATGGGCTAAACCTCTGAACTGTCAGCTACCCCAGTTAAATGCTTTCTTTTATTAAGAGTTGCCATGGTCATGGTGTCCCTTTAAAGGAACAGAACAGCGACTAAGACAATCTGTAAAGTGTGTGCTAGTCAGGCTCAATCTGGAGGCTTTGTAAACCTCAGAGACACAAACAGTAGCAACAGGCAGTACCAACAGTGCCAACTACTCGGCCCCCATCATGGATCACCTACATTTTATATAATATTTCTTTTTATTTCTTTGATTTTTTTTGAAACAAGGTTTTACAATATTACCTAACATGACTTTGAGTTTGTGATTCTCCTGTCTCAGGCGGGCAGAGAATGTAGGTGCACACTGCCACTCACTTCACATGTTGTTTCTACTGCCCCAAGAACTGTCCGAGGGACAGGTGATAGCTGCCTCTTTGCCCAGATGGTTCCTTTTGCAAGAGCTGGGTTGTTCCTGGGCAGAGGCTCTTGGCACCCTTCTGCACAGATTCAGGCTGGTCATATTCCTAACTGCCCACCCACAGAAACTGAGCATGAAAGAACTGTGTCATGTGTGTATCTCCTTCCCTCTCCCCACACCTACAGAGAAGAAAGACCCTGAGTACCCACATGGGAGGTCCCCAGCCAGGCTTCTTGCAATGGCTGTGTGGGGACAGAGTGACTGTTTGTGGAAATGCTGGGGACTAGGGACTCTCCCTACTGACACATCCTCCGACTAAGCACAGATTGGACCAGAAGCTGGTGCCACTGTAACTGAAGTCTGCAGGTGCAGGCTGGGAAACGGAACGCCTGTGCTGTGCATTGCAAGAGTGAAGACAGGCTCAGAGGGTTGACAGCAAAAGCCTGAACCTGCGAGGTGGAGCAGTCAGTGTCTCAGGCCTAGAAGCCTGCAACAGCCTCAACACCTCACAGCTAACTCCTCCAAGAGCTCCACTGAGCTCTGGGGCTTTGGAGAGAAAGAATGGTCAGTACACAGGAATGCCTGGGGAAGACCCGAGCAACTGATGGCTTCTCTACCCAAGCCTCTGCTCCTGTTGACAATACCCATTTCCAGGTCTCGTTTCCTGGCCTGCAACCTCTCGGGAGCCCTTCTTCCACCCCCACCTCCAACCCATCCTGAGCTGGAGCTGAGATCCCAGAGCTTGGACTAGTCAGTGGCTGGGAGCTCAGAGGGTGGGTGCCCAGGAAGTGGAAGCATTATGTGTGTGCTGGGTTATGGGCGAGATGGGGAGGGGTGTGTACTCTGATCGGGCTCTGCTCGTCACTTCCGTTTGTATGTTTGGGTCCCCTTGGCCTTACCTGCGTGGGACTGCATGTGCTCCAGCAGGTTGCTGTAGAACTGGAACTGGATACCGCAGGCACCGCATGTGTAGGGTTCTGGGGAAGACAGGTGACATGTGACAGGTGGCTCATACCCAGGCACCCTGATACTGGGCTGCAGGCAGCTTTGAAGGTGGGGGACCCAGATGCATACTTGGGGCCCAGAGCCCAGCCTATCCACTGGCCTGTCACTAGCCTGGAGAGGGAAACGCTGTGGAGAGGCAGAAACACAGAGAAGGGAAGACCGGCAGAGACAGGCTGCTCGCAAGGGGCCTGCTCCTTATCAAGTGCTTACTTCATGCCAGGCACTGCTCTGAGCGCACAGGAAAGGACAACATCCAGGCACTGGGAGCTCTCAGGAAACACTCTGTGCCCCTTGCGGTCCACAGCTCAGCCCCCTGCCCATGGCACCACACACGGGCCACTGCTATGGACAGAAGGAGTGAGCAGATGCGCAAATGAACATGGAAACTCACAATGGGAGGGTAAGAGAGAAAAGAGCTGGAGGAAGTGCAGCCGCGGAGTAGGACTGGAGAAAAGGAGGAGGCTGGGCTGAGGGCGACAAGCTGCACCTGCACCATCAGCTCTGCGTATTCAGGACTCCACCAGTACCTGGCCAAGAGGGAGGAAGAAGGAAACAAAACACTAATAGGTAGACGTGGAGGGCAAGAGGGAGGAGGACGGCTTGGAAGAAAAGTCCTGAGGCTTCTGGTCATCCAGGAGTGGGTAAACCTGTTCTCCCTCCTGTGTGCTCAGGATTCTGACAACCTGCGCACACCCCTGCACCCTCCCGGGCCCTCTGCAGCCTCCACAGACTATTGCTGGCCCCATGGAGGGCGGCCCAAGGCCTGTCCAAGTCTCGTGAGGCAGGAGTGTTCATTCCCTGACCTGCCTTGTCCTCTCCAGCCCCCCAGCAGGAGCATCACTTACTCTGCAGGAGAGGGAAAGGATTGGAAATCAAGGGACTTGCAGTTTCTGCGAAAGAGAAACAATTTAGCTAAGGTTTTCTTCAGTCCTGGGGCTGAGCCAGGGGGCACTCTGGGTAGGCAGGCAACCTGTGAGAAGGGAGGTACCGCACGGTGCTGGTAGGGCCATTTCTCTAGGGTGCTCTGACAGTGAGGCTGTAGGATGTAGGTACGATGCCCGTAAGGCCATACACTTGGTGACAGAATGTTGGAAACTGTCCCCAGCTTCTGACAGTAGGATGGGAGTGCTTGGTACCTGAGTAGCCCTGGATGGTATTTGCTGGCATTGCCAGAGGTGAGGTTGGCACAGCCTCCAATGTAATAGGCAGCAAAAGTGAAGCGCAGGCAGAGTAGGCGGTCCTGGCTCTACCTACAGTCTGGGGAACCTGGGGCTACAATGGAGTTATCCTGAGCCTCAGTCTTCTCATCCAGAAAGTGGGGATAAAGGGAACACTATGCCCACAGGATTGTGGTATGGGTGAAGCAGATGCAACACACAAAGCTCTGAACACATGCCAGCCACGTCGTAAGCACTCAATAAACAGTGGCTGCCAGCAGCAGCAGCAGCAGCAGCAGCAGCAGCAGCAGCAGCAGCCACCGCCACGGCCACCTATGGCAGTGCTGTTCCCAAACAAACGTCAGCCATGGTGTCAGGAGAGGTGCGAGGGGTGCAACAGGACTTGGCTGAGTCCAAGTCCTGCCAGGAAAACCAGGTTCTAATTCCAGGCTGCCACTCAATCCTCTGTGCCCTTGTACGGGTCATGGCATCCCTCCTAGACTAACCCCTTAGAGAGGCTCGAAGGGTCACTCTGCATTGGAACTTGTGCCGATTGCTTGGTTTACATCAAAGGGGAAAAAAAAGCATACAAGCCTCAAAGCAATGCACCCTCCTCTCTGCCTGCGTGCTCTGGGGCAGTTTCTGCTCCTCAAGCACTCAACACCAAGGAGGAATCAGGGCTCATCGGGAGCACTCACTGGAGGCAATGGATCCAGAGTGGTTGCTTTTATTACTAGGCAGAAGCCTCCACCTAATGTCTGTGCTCCTTGCTAAAGCCCATGGTAGCTAAGATGCACGCCATTGCCCGTGTACATCAGGCAGTGTTGGCACGGGGGCACTCACTCAGCCACATTCCAGCCAAGGGTAAACCCTGGAGTCCAAAGCTCTCTCTTCTGCAGGCTCTGAGGTACCACTAGAATCCAGAACGAGGCAGCCACTAGGTGGCAGCAAACACTATCAAGAGTGCTCATGCAAAGCCATAGTGCTGAAGGGGCTAGAAGAGCATCTATCTGTTCTGTGGTCCCAGGTCCAGCATGGGTCCAGAACCTGGGACCTCTGGCTCCCGTAAACCGTCTTTCTACTGAACCCCTTTTGCATCTCCTGAAAAGAAGCATGTGACGGCATTACTTTTAACTTAGCAACTGACTTTCTTAGGGCTATCCATCTGGGCTGGCCGAATTGATGCCCGAGTTTGGGGTTAAGGAAGTTCCTCTCTCTGAGGACAAGGGACAGCCACAGAAGAGCATCCATGGACACAAAGGCCTTCTGCTCTCCACAGGCTCCATCGTCTCTGATTCCCCTGCTCAGTTCCCCTCCCACCATGCACCAGAAGACCCCATAGTGCCGCCCTTCTCAGGTCACACGTGATGTCCTGTCACAGGCACACTCACCGCTGGAATTCTGTGAGCTGCTGTTGGTCTCTTCAAAGTGGTTCTGTGCTTTGCCTTCTACCCGCCGACTGAAGGTGCTTTCTGCTGGGTGGAGGGGGGGATGAGAACGACAGGGGAGGGATCAGCTTGTCTGTCAGGTCAGAGTGGGCAGAGGGTTCCTGGAGCTGGGAGAACAAGAACCCTGAGCCCCCTGGTTCCCAAGAGCATCTCTGGGTAGTGTCTGGGAGGTACAGGGACAGAGGGGGAAGAAGTGGCCTGCCTAAGGGCCAACGAGAAGACAGCAAACAGGTCAGGGTCATATGTGTACGGCCAAATCATTTAAACGAGCTTTGTTACCCTGGCAGATTCTGCTGCTTCAGCCCCCACAGAAGAGGATGAAGGATGACAGCCCATTATCTGGAGGCAGCTCTGGCCCAGCAAGTATCCCAAAGCATAAAGGATGTCTTGGGACAGACGCACAACAAGCAGAAAGGAAAAGGCCAGAGACCAGGTGAGGAGGTTTGAACTCCCTGTTCCCTGTGAGCCATGTCTGACTGCTTTCTGAGGGCTCCCCATCATCCACGCTCTCTCTCTCTCTGGAAACCCCATAATGCAGAGACAGGCTCTGGCAAGCAGAACTCTATAGTTACAGCCCCACCTGCATAAGATAACCTAGCCTTTCCACGGTGCTCCAGGCACTAGAGGGCATGGCTAATTTAGGAGATGCAGGTCTCAGGAAAGTCAACTTGAGATACTCAATCAGCCCAAACCCTTTAAACAGCTTGGATGAGGTTACCACAGGCTCAGAGAAACTAACCAGAAGGTGACTCACTGAGCTTCAATTAATGTATCCTAAAAAATACTGGGTTCTGTAATTTCCTTCCAAGTGCTGTTCCTGGGAAACCACCTAGAGGAACACCATTCACCGGTCCATCCTTCCCAGGAAAGTGCTGGGTGTACTGGGTGTACTGGGTGATGGGTGCAAAAGGCAGCCAGAGGCAGCCAGAGGCAGGCAGAGGCCAGAGGCAGGCAGAGGCAGGCGGAGGCAGGCAGAGGCCAGAGGCAGGCAGAGGCAGGCAGAGGCAGGCTGAGGCAGGCAGAGGCAGCCCCAGAGGCCTGCTCAGTTCTCTTACTGCCACTTCCAGGTCTCCCATAGCCTGTAGAGGCTGCTGGCGTTAGGACCACGCTCCTTCTGTGTCCAGCATGTGTAACAGCACATTCTCTAGCTACAGAGGGGAGGAGCTCTCACGCTTCAGCACCCACTATAAGCCCGGCACTGGGTCCGAGTTTTACCATCATGGTCTTTAATCCTCGCAGAGCCATGCGGCTGCGCGGTACTGCCCATTGAACAGACAGACAAACAAACTCCAGTTAGCAGCCTCCTGTCCACTAAGATAGTATGTGAGGCTTGACTGGAGGCAGGTGCTTCCCTTCTAGAAAGGAAGGGATCCCCTTCTCTACTGTAGCCTGTGTTCACAGGAGGGCAGGCAGGTAGGCAGATCCTTGTTCGGACTAGCACATGAGTATGACTTAGTGCAACTCAGGTCACCAGCTCCCGTACTGAGTCCCCATTGCTTGACTTTCCTGGTGCAAGGGCGTCTGGTTGGAAACCAGTATGCGGTATTTCAGGTGTAATATTCACACCAACAGTCATATTCTCTAGGATAATGGCAGTGGCTGGTGTGCCCATGCTTGCTGGACACTTGCCTGAAGAGAGCAACATGCAATGAATGCCAAATGCCACGAACTCCCTGAACAATTCTCAGTGCAAGCTGAGGGCTTTAAAACACCAGCTACAAAGCTCAAGCAAAGGCAGAAGGCATGGCCGTGCCATCTGATGGGGGGGCCCATGACAGCCAGTCTCTCCAGGGCTTTTAATGCTGAGGGCTGACCCCAAGGCCCCCCACAGTCACTCTACCCCTGAGCTAGATCCCCAACCCTCCTCTTACTTTAAGACAGGGTCTAACCAAGTTGCCCAGTCTGGCCTTGAACACACTCTGTAGCCCAAGTAGGACTTGAACTTTTGGTCCTCTCGACTGTAGTCAAAAACAAAATTGTCACAACACGGTAGTTAAAAAATTCCACACTTCAAGGCTGGCTGACTCCCCTTCTTTTGGGAGACACACGCACAGTAAACACAAGACCACAGCTTGGCCCAAATTAGCTTGCTAACCAGAAGAAAGACAAGCAGCGCTAATTCCCAGCCAGGTCACCAGTCACCAAACGATGCCAGGGCTCACGTATCTGCCCTCTCCGTGCAATCACTGTGTGTTTAGAGGATCGCTTTGGCCTTCTGAAGGCAACCGAAAGGCCCACAGCCCCCAAAGCACAGCACCATCATCCGGGTATGTGGCCCAAGGCTTTCCTCATGCAAGTCGGAGACTCGGGGTGCCTGGCAGCTGGTACCTAGGACTCAGTAGGTCTTATATTCTGGAGGAAACAATCTCTGGGGATTTTGCTGCTCAGTCACCTTGTGGAGACAGGGTTCCTTTTTGCATAGGACTGGAAAATTCTGGAGCTGGCTGGCATCCTCTGGTTTCCTGCTGGGTTTCATGGGGGAACTCTAGGGAGTGGGAAGGCAGGGTGACAGAGCTCCTGTCGGCCGCCCTACCTGGTGGAGAGCATATCTGTGGTGAAGCGGCTTGAGAGGGTTTTCCGGAAGGTGAAAAGGCAAGCTCATGCCAAGGGGTCCAGACAGAGTGGGGTTGGATGGTCACAGACAACGGCACGATTACCATGGTAAATGATACCTGCCATGGGGCCACTGTGGCAGGGAGGTGGCAGCCAGTGGTAGGGATGGTGGAACTGGGAAGGAGGCATCAACCACTGCCCTGCAGGACCATGGCCTAGGAGCCTGAGCAGGTGTCTCAGCACAGTCAGCACCCAGGGCTCTACAGAGACTCTTCTCGTGGTCAAACATTACCAATTTATCTTTAATAAGAAGCTTTTAAACTTCATAAAGGCCAAATAAAACAGACCCCTTCAGGCTATGATTTGGGGAAAATGTATCAAATTACTTTTAAAATGTTTGTGAATTTTGTTGTTTGACCCTCCAATTGAGGTCCAGAACTTGGTCTGCCAGGGTCACTGGTAGCCAGAGGCCACGGGTCCCAATCTGTACCAAGGAATGATGGAACCTTCGGTGTTATTCCATAGGCAGGGAGTCAGGGAGGCATGGGTAATGGCAGCCATCCATACCTGCAGTTGCCTTGCTTGCTGGAGATCCCGAGTTTGGAGTTCGAAACGTTTGAGTTTGGGTAGCTGGAGGGGTGCGGTGTAAGAGGGTGGTGCATCGGACCATGGAGGCTGGAGCTTTCTTCCCCGACTGGTTCGTCTGGGTCTTCGCCGCCACAAAGCGTGGAGATGAGGTGACCTCTGGATGGGAACACTCAGAACCCGTGTCTGGATCTTCTGGAGGCTCCCACCCGGGGGCAGTACCTGAGAGGATGATGTTCTTAGTCCTCGAGGGCCTCCAGAGCCTGCTCTCAAGTGACTGACTCACAGGCTACCCCGGAATGCCCACTCTGACGTATCTATGACGAATCTGCCTTCATTCTACAGAGAGCAAGGGCTCAAGCTCCTACCCGGCCTGAGAACCTTTGAAAATCGGAATCTTCCCTAAAGTCTGACCTTCAGTTCATGCTCAGAGCTACCCATTAGTCACCATCACCTCTGTGCAATTTCTGCGTGCCCACATCCTTAGATAAAGGGCATCTGGACTATTCCCCAGGCACGAGTACATTTTCCCGGCCCTTTTCCTCCAACGGGGAGTCTGGCCCATCAGTGGCGATGAAAACCAGACAGGCAGTATGGTCTGGGTTCCGTGCTGGAGTAGGGAAGGGACAGGGTCTGGGAACTGCTATTCTTAGGAGGCTCGGGACCTGTCACTGCCAACAGAGGTATGCCTGTCCCCTGTGAGGTATGGGAACTCTGACTGGACCCTCTACAGAGCTAGGTTCTGAGTGCCCTGAACCTATCTCTAACCTGACCCACTCAGAAGAGCAGCAGACAAGGCCTGTTTACTGAGACCGTGTAATGTCTACAGCTATATCCCCTGATGGCAGAGAGGAGAGGGGGGTCCTAGAGTCCTGTGCACAGGGCCTGGGGTCAGTGTTCTCAGCCAATTTGTCTTTTGGGCTCTGTGAGGGTGGTGGGGCCTTGTTAGGTGGGGCCTGCTCTCAGGACAGTGCCCATCCTGGGAGTCAGAGACTCAAGCTGCCGCATCACAGGCTGAGATGAAGACCATTGAGCCCCCGACTTCCAGCCGTTCCAGCACTGATGCAGAAGTCAGGGTCCAAGGAATCCGGGCCCTACGCAAACCGTGGCTCTCCTTGACGCGGAGCAAGCACAGAGATGCTTGCCTGTGGCAGGGCTGACTGTGCCAGGGGGAGGGGAGCCATTCAGTCGCGACTCTAACAGCTTCAGCCTAGCTGAGGAGATCCCGGGGGCCTCCGTCTGAGGAAAGCCCAGGGAGCTCTCATGGCAAAGGGCACCTTTTTCCTTTTTCCTCCTTTCCCTTCCTGCTCTTTCTTTCCCACTTGAGTCAAACAGGAAGGATGGCTTATCTGACAGTTCCCCTCCGTTATCACAGAATAACCGGATGCTGCTGCCCCGGCCCACCTCACTTCTCCACTGTCTCCCTAGGGGAGGAACAGTTTAGGAGTCACGGCTTGGGGCTCTCACTCAGGCCTATGCTGAGGCTGAAGAAGCCAGTTCCCGGTGGAAGCCTAGCTCCATGGTTTCTGGCCTCAGCAGCCCCGGGCTCTGTACTATATGGGGCACATAGTTTCCCCTTCCTACCGTAGGGATTAATGAGACATCCAGAAGCCAGGGAGCTATACCTTAAAGTAACTAGTCCCCATACGGAAACTGCTCCTGCTGCTCCTGCTTAGTCAGGGAACGTAAGACAGGACCTGAAGCTAGGCAGGAGCTCAAGAAGGCCTATATTATCTATCCCCTCCATGCACTGGACAGGGAGAGTCCATGAGCTGCCTGGTCCCATGTGTTCCTAACAGACCTGTCTCTGTAGCAGCAGAACCACTTCTGGGGATTGTTTTATAGCAGCCCTGCCTGGCCCTATGTGCCGCACCTGAGCAGCTCCTGCCTAGGGAGCCGTGACCGACCATCTCAGCTCCTCCTCCTTCCCAGGCAGTGACTGTCGTCAACAGCATTTGCTGTGACCTTTGATGCCTGCTCTCTCAAAGCCTGAGTCGTCCAGTTTGTCCCTCTGTCTTCATGCACACGGGTCATCAAGAAGAGTCATGCCATCCATGAATGAAAGTACTGAACGGCCAGAAGAGGGAAACTTGGGATGCTGAAGTCAGGAAGCTCAACAGGAGGCTCTCTTTATCCCCCCCTGCCTCAAAGCCTAGAGCAGATGGGGTCACAGAGGTCAGGGTCCTCAGCATGGAAGGATCCCAGCAGGTTCTCAACTCACATTCCCCAACAGTCTACTCCATATGCTGACCTCACAGAGAACACCATCAGGTCGCTACCTGGCCTTGACTAGAAATGAGCACTCAGGGAGACTGGCTACTTTCTACTATAAGAAACACAAGATATTTTTATACATAACACACCTAAACAACGAGAGGGTACAAACTGTCTCCTGTAGGAAGCTGAAAAATTAACCAAAGCAGGAAAAAAAATAAAGAAAAGTAAGAGACTAGAGAGGCATGGGCTGTCTCTAGACTCTAGGAAGCAGAGGTGAAGTGAAGGAACCATCACTGAAGGTGGGGGCAGGGAGAACCTCCATGGGATTTTGCCCCAGAAAGGACTTTTGGCCACTGGAACAGGACTGGAGTTTCTGAGGGAGCTAGAAAAACACACTACAGCCAGCAGACCTCACCAGGAGGTGGTGTGATGCAAGAATGAGACTTGGTGAGTCCCATCTCATTCCAAAATCTCCACTGAAGACAGTTAAGCTCAGAGAACAGAGCAGGGCCCAGTGGGCATGTCCACTCACTGAACCTGAACCAGAAGGACAGAGATCAAGGCCAGGGTTTCTGATGAGGCTGGACACCACAGGGCAGATTAGCAAAGAACAGACATTTGAACCAAGGAAGAACTGAGAAATGTGCAGGGGGCTTCCTCAAAGGCTTCAGCTAAATTCCAAATCATTTGTGTAGGCTGAGTCTCTGCACAGGGAAAACAGACAAGTATGTGCGTGAATGTGGGTGTGAGAGAGGGAGGTGTGTGTGTGTGACGTGAATGAGGACTCAGAGATCACACAAAAGTCACACAAGATTAGGCAGTCTTTGGGGCCCCACCTGCCAGAGAGCAGAAGGCCTGGTGATGTCAGCAGAGTCACAGAAAGGCCATGGCCTGGAAGAGCTGCCGCACTGCTGAGTAAGAGCTACTCCTGTTGCTCTAACCTAGTTTAAAAACAAGACTCTGAAGCTTTAAGTTGATCTGTAAGGAAATTAGTTGCCTACCAGAACAAAACCAAGGAAGAAAACAGCCCAGTCAAGTCCAGAACATACCAACATACCATCTACAATGAGCAACACAAAGCAATTACTTTTGAGGGGAACCAGAAAAATGTAGTTAAAATTCAAAAGGAAAACCAATGAGAAGAAACATAGAAATAAATATGATGATGGACTTATGAGACAAAGGCCTTAAAGCCACTATTATAAATGTACCCAAAGGTTTAAAGAATACACTGGCTGAGAACAAGGAAAGCTATAAAAAGGAATTTTCAGAGATTAGATATTGTAGAAGAAAACATTAATGACTTTGAAAGCAGGGGAAAGTGAAGAACAGGGGGATAATAATGCTGAAAAGGTAAACACAGGTTGACTGTCAGCACCATCAGAAATCTAACGCACGTGCAATTAAAGTCCAAGGAGAGGAAAAAGAAATCAGGGAAGAAAAATAAAAATCTCTTGGTCAAAGCAGATGAATCTCAACAAAAATCAGATTACTAAGAACTAGTATCATGGGTTAGTACTTAGAAAGGTCAGAAGGTTGGAAAGATGACTCAGTGGTTAGGACCTAAATTCATGATAGACTTTAATACACCAAAGATGTACACTATAAACCACAAAGTGAAAAAGAAATAATAGTAGAATATTAATGGAATAAACTTAAAAACACTTGATTAGTACTGCAGCATGCAAAAAAGTAAGAGTGAAAATGAATGATATAAATAAACAGAAAAACATATAGTGCTGAATGAAATCCAATCATGTCAATAAGCTATATTGAATGTAAATGGATTAAACTTTTCAATTAAAAGGAAATAGTTCATTTATTGTACTTTTGGTACTAAAGAATTGCATATTCTTTTTTCTTTTCAAGATAAGGTTTTTCTATGTAGCCCTGGATGGTCTGACACTCACAGAGAACCTTGTGTCTTTGTCTCCTGAGAGCCGGAATCAAAGTCATGCACCATCATGCCTGGCTTGTACATTCCATTTTCATTGGAAGCTTAAAACAAAAACTTTAAATATTCTAAGGGGGAGGAAACAGATTTAACACAGTGTGTGCATCTAACAGGATACATTCAAACAAACTAGCCAAAAATGAATACATCTTAAAGAGAGAATGGAAAAACCCAGATTGGAAGGTGAGGATTTTGAGGGCTTTGATTTTTCAGTACCTGATAAGGTAAGCCAATTTCTTTTTTAATGGCAGGAAAGGTTACAGAAACTTGAAAATTGTCAGCTAAGCTAACTTAACTGACACTACAAAACATATAACAAACTTACCTATGATTAATTAATAATCAATAATTTTGGTCAAGTGAACAAGGAACATATAGCAAAGAGAGGACATTTAGACGGTAGATCATAAAACAAAGCTCAATAAATTACAAAGATTGGAAATCACAATATGTATTTGACCATAATAGAATCAAATTAAAAATTAATTAAAATTTTTAAATAATTAATTTACTAATATATGGAAAGGGAATCTATTTACTAAATGATGTTTCCTATAAAGAAAATGCCAGGTTTGGCAAAGTGTTGAATTTCTATAAAAATATTTATAAAAAGCAATTCCAACTCTATATAAATTTTTCAGAAAATGGAAGAGAAAGGAATTTTCTTTGAAACTGCTTCTGTGAAACAATTCTGTTCTGACACATAATAAATACAAGAATGTCACAGCAAGAACATGGTATTGGCTGGAGTTAAAGTGGCTTTAACTACCTTGGAAAACAACGGCTACTCTCTGGCCATGCATGTGTTGTGAGCACACTCACCTGTGTGTGCATATGTGGAGGCCAGAGGTCAGCCTCAGACAGATTTATTAGCTCACCACATATTTCTGAGATAGAGTCTGCCACTGAATCCAGAGCTCACTGGTTTCACAAGAAGGGTTGGTCAGTAAGGCCTTGGCACTCACTTCTCCCCACTCCCAGTGCTCGGATCACAGGCAAGCGCTGCCACCGCTCAGCTCCTCATGCGTGCACGTCCCGCACTCCTTCCCTG